GGGGAGAGAGGGGATGGCTCTAGCCTGCTGGCTGAGAAAGTCACTTCCAGGAAGACTAGGGCTGGGAGCAGCCTTCAAGTTCTTCGACTCACCCATTACACAGATGGGAAGCTGAGGCCTCGCTGGGTCTGTGACTTGCTTGTCTGAAGGCAAGCACAAGCTGATGGTAGCCATAGATTAGAGCTCGGGGCAATGTTATTTTCACACCATCTCCCAGTGGAGCCAAGGGGGTTCTTGGGGCACAGTAAATGGAACGGACCAGGAAGGGGAAGCTAAGTAAGCGCTATCTATCGTCTGGGAGGAGGGAAGGGGACCTGATGGAAGATTCTGGGTGGAAGATTACAGAGGAAGAAAAGTGGGAGGGGTGATTTTGTCAACATCCTGAGCAGCCTGAGGCTAGGGAGCAGGGTGGGGTGGGGACCTAATGAGAGCAGAGGGGTTTGGCAGAGACACCAGAAGGAGGGGCAGAGAACCCTATCCTGGTGTACATGGAGGAGGCAGGGGATTGGACCTGATGACCCTGGTTCAATAAGCTCCAGACGTCATTATTATTATCATCATTACCATTGCTTTGGCTCCAGATTGCCTGGGTTCAAATCTCACTCCACTGCTTATGGCTGGACCCTGGGAAAGTGACTTAATTGCCTAATCCACAGTTCCATATCCATCAACCGAGGATAAATAATAGCACTTCCCTGTTTTGTTGTCAAGATGAAGTGAGATAACATGTGGCAAAGCTTCTGACAAATACCGCAAGCCCGTTGTGTGCCAGGCACTGTTTTAGGTCCTGGGGATTCGGCGGTGAACACGTTGAGCCGTTTTCCTCATGGAGCTCTCGTTCCAGCAGCGTGGTGCTTGGCATAGACATTAGGTGCTGGGTGAGAGATTGACAGGAGCGCTATCTTTCGCGTAACGAACATTTGTGCTCCTTGGGCCGCAAACTGCATTCATGTCCAGTGTGTGTTCAGGCTCCCCATTACCTTAATGTTATGGGGTGGGAGGGACACTGAGGCTCAATGCCCTGAGAAGTGACTTGTCCTAAATCATGCAACTACTTAATGGACCTGCCGTCCAAATTGGTCTGACCACCTGGGCTTCTAATTCTTGATGCAGAAGAAGGGGGTAGTGTGCATGCGCGCGCGTGCGTGCGTGTGTGTGTGTGTGTGTGTGTGTGTGTGTGTGTGTGTGTGTGTAGGTGGGAGTGAGGTGAACTAGGGAAAAGATGGGTCCCATCTCAATGTACCTGGGAGCCTGCTCTCCTGAGTGAAACCAGATGGGTCTGCTGTGACCTGAGGTCTGTCTCAGCGGCCCACTCACTCAATGCCCTCCCCCAGGAGGGGAGAGGGGGGCACAGACGAAAGGGCAAGTGGAGGTTTGGGGGGTTCCTCTTCCCTGGGGCTGGGAGAGAGGGTCCTTCTTTCCCTTCTCCCTACTCTGCAGGCTATTGGCCTGGGAACTTTCCCCTTAACCATGGAGGGTGGTGGTGGGCTGGGGGCCAGCTGAGGACAAGTCTCCCACTGAGGCTTGGGTGGGCAGTCCTCCCCCCAGGAGAGCCTCCCCACCCCCACAGCGAAGCTCAGATGCGGGTTGCCAAGTAGGGGCTGACGGTGCCTGTCCCGTCTCCTGGACTGGCCTCAAGGCCATTCCCCTCACCCCTGGACTCTTTGGCCTTGGTAGACAGAGGTTCTTGCCTTGGGGGTTGGGGTGGAAGGGCTGGGGCTGGGCTGAGGCCCAGGGTTCCCGTCATTTCAGGCCTGGCAGCTACCCGGCTGCAGATGGCTCGCCCGCCAGCCTGGCGGCCAGCACAAATGCTTTACAGCTGTACCTCTCGCTATGGGCTTGCCTTTGAGTCTAGAGACAGAGATGGGGAGCCTGGGGGATTCAGAGGGGGCACACACAGAGACATGGGGTGGGTGGGGGGACAGGCCAAGGCAGCTGGTTGCTGAGAGAGTGAGAATGACAAGGAAACTTAAAGCTCCTGAAAATGTTTCCTCAGCATGCAGGGGTGGGAGTGGGGACTTTCTGAGGNCACGGGGTGTCAGATATAATGCTGTGGAGGAGAGAATCTCTCTCCCACATCCACCCCCCACCCTCACCTTCTAGCCAACCCCCGTGTGCCTCATCCTGCTCTTCACATGGCAGCTCAGCACCTATTTGCTGAATGAATGAATGAGCAAGTGAGTGGCACTCTCGCTTCCCCGCCCCCCCCATTCTCTCTCTGCTTCTCTCCTCCTGGCATGTCTCCCTTCCCCACAGGCCTGCTCCAAGCCGAGCTCTGCTTGCCCGCCCTGAGATGCCTTCCAGAAAAGAGTTATAATACAAGCCCCTGGCTGGCTCCAGGGGCCCAGATTCAGGAAGAAGAAGATTTTTTGTTGGGGCTGAAGGCCCAGCCTGGCCAGCACTGGGGGGCTGTGGGGTGGGGACCATGGCTGGGGCGGGGAGACAAGCCAGGAAGAGGGGTGCTATGGATCAAACTGTGCCCCCCTGCCCAAATGCACATGTTGAAGCCCTAACCCCCAGTGTGACTGTATTTGGAGATGGACTTTGAGGAGATAATGAAGGTTGACTGAGGTCATAAGGCTAGGGTCCTAATCTGATAGGACGGGTGTCTCTGTAAGAAGAGAGCTCGCTCTCCAGGCCATGCACTGAGGAAGTGAGAAGGTGGCCACCTGCAAGCTGAGAGGAGAGCTCTCACCAGAACCCGACCACGCTGGCACCCTGACCTTGAACTTCAGGCTCCAGAGCTGTGAGAACGTACATATCTGTTGTGTCAGCCACCCAGTCTGCGGTGTTTTGTTATGGCAGCCTGAGCTGACTAATATGAGGGGGAATAGGGGCCCCTAGTCCAACTCTTTCCCACGTGGTCCTTCTAAGCTCACTGGGAACGACGGACCCAGGCCTAGATCAAGTAGGCTCCTGCCTCATCCTGTCGTGGGCTGAGAGCCTCTCATTAGGCAGTTTTCCAATCTGTAGAATGGGATTGTACATATATAAGGTGCCTCGCACTGCACTTAGCACATAGGAACCACACCCCAGAATACGAGTTGGGCTCTCCCCTTCTTTGCATGTGAAACTCCTTTTCATCTTTGAAGACCCAACTTAAATGTTACCTCCTTGGTAACACTGCCCCCATTCCTTCCAAGTGGGTAAAGTCTATCTTCCCTGTTTCGACCCTTCCTGCCAGCCCTGCATGGCACTTACAAACCTCTGTTATAACGCTGTTGTATTTATGTGGTTTCCTGGCTCACGTGAACAAAGCGTGTCGCCAGAAAACATTGGTTGGATGAATCAAGGTACCAATTTCTGGGTTGAGAAACCACAGCCCGGCCCTGGTTCCAAGCCCTCAGCCTATTGGATGGCATGAGTTAAGGACCGGAGGAGGATGAAGCAGCAGAGGTGAGCAGCCTTGGCCCTCAGTGCGGATGGGTGTGGGGGAGGTGGTCAGATGGGAGGTCACTCTGTAGCCAGAGAGGAGGCCGGGTTCAGGGCGCATGGGAATCGGAGTCTTGGAAAATGGTTGGCAGTGCAGGGGGCTGCTCTCCTCCCTTCCCATCAACTCCAGCAGCTGTTCGACTTCACTGTGTGAGTTCAGCCCCTCGGAACAAAGGGGCGAGGGAATTAAATGGAAAAAGAGTGAGAGAGGAAGGATTTTTCTGTAAAGAGGGAGAGGATAGGTTTGGGAATAGGTGGGTGGAGAAGGTATGATGAAGACAAAGATGATGAGCGAGAGAGAAACTGGGAGACGGGAAGTAAGGGAGGTTTGGGCGGGTGGTGTGTGTGTGCGCAGAGAGAAGGATGGAGAAAGGGATGGGGAGGGATGGAAAGCTGGGAGAAATGACATTGGAGGGGATACTGGGGAGGGAGGCTTAAGACCAAGGGCTAGGCCTGGAACCTCCTGGAAAGAAAATGCCTGGGCGTCCCTGTATGGGTGTGACGAGCCCTCTCCTCCTGGCTCCTGGCTTGGTGGCTGTCCTTCCTCCCTTCTGCGCTCCAACCCTCCTACCCTTGCTGAGCTGCCGGCTCTGCCCATCAGCAAAAGTCCAAGTCAAGTTCTGTTAAATCTTGTTGGAGGAAAGATAAGGTGCTGCAAATGCAGCAGAGATTACTAGCTTCCGCAGACTCTGTCCGTGGCCAGACCGAGGTAGGTCCAGGTTGGGGGCTGGAACTGCAGTTGGGTAGTGGGAGAGGAGGCAGGGGCTAGTCGAGGCTGTGGAGTGGGTCCCTTTACACGCCTTCCAGGGCAGCTGCTGCCACTGGGCGCCTTAGCTCAGCTCAAGTAGAATCAGCAGCTCTCCCCTTCCTAAGGCTCTTTAGGAAAGCGGATACCCCCCTGCAGCCCCCTCTGGTACCACTTGGCAAGGCCTGGACTGCCAGTGGCAGAAGCCAGGAGTAGAACTCCCCAGGCTGAGGGTGGGATGATGGGGCCATTGTCTAGTTCTCTAGGGCTAAGCTGATAGCTCGAGGCTCATCTGGGTTCCAGGACTCTTCCAGAGTGACTCCTGTTGGGCTGCTCCAGGTTCACTTGCCTCTCCTTGCCCTTCAGGGAGCCCGAGTTAGATCTGGGGACCCATCAGGGGTACCACACAGATTTGCCTTTGGCCCTGGGACATGGGAAATGCGAACCCTCTATCATCCTGGCAGAGTGGCAGGAAAGAGATCCTGCGGAACAGGTGTGTCAGACATGGGGGGTGGGGGGGTTGGGGCCACAGCATGGTTTAAGTGATGGTTTATGAAGTGGATGCCAGTGGAGACTGTACTGCTGTGGCTGGGGGGTGTGGGAGTGTGCGTAGCACATGTGGTCTCTAAGACACAGCCACCACCTGCCAACTCAGGTCCCCTTCTCTGTTCAGGTCTCCCTCTCTGATGGGACAACCCCGAATGCCTCAGAACCAACTGTTGTACAAAGACAGAAACTTTATTTTTTGTGATGGGAGCCACACAGGCACCCATGGGTAGATGGAGGGCTCTCTGCCAGACCCCCAGATTGTGACCTTGAGAACCTTGTCTAGCAGTCTGCGGGGGTGGGGCAGTGCCCGAGCACAGGCTGGGTAGGCTGGTCTTAGCCGGTCCCGCCAGCCCAGGGCCGCTTCAGTTCAGCTTGGTTTCCTGGGTTGAAATCATAATCCATCAGGCCCAACTTTGGCCAAAGATAACCATGCTCTGCCAGGGCCTGCAGCTGGGAGGGGGCGGGCACTTGTTCCTCATAGAGCAAAAGTGGGCTTCTTCTCTGAGCCTCCCATTTCACCTTCATGGTGTGGTTTTCTTAGGACCCCAGGCCTGCTAGACAAGCTATTCCAGCTTCTGGGGGTGGGGTAGGGTGAGAAGGACACCCCAGAAACCCACAAGCCTCCTGGGGTGGCTGCCTGTTTGCATTTCTGACTCTCTGCTGCCCTCGTGTGGCTGTAGGAGTAGTTGACACCACACCCCTATAGAAGGTTGTGTGGTTGGGGGGTTGAGAGGGGCGGCGGCGTGGAACTCAGTAAGGCTGGAGCTGAGGTAGAAGCAGAGAGAGCCGGCCCTTGCGTCTGCTCTGGAGAACAAGATCTGGCTGCCCCTACCCAGGTGTGGGTTATACAAGCAACAACACTAGGGCAGCTGTGACACCAGCTGAGGACACTTGCTTCCCAGAAAAGTAAAAGAAAAAATGGGGCTGACACTCATTTGCAATGGAGGAGATTAGACATCAAGAACACGAGGACAGCTGGGTTGTTTCTGACCCTGGGGGCAAGTTCTCCGTGGCTAAGCTGCCCCACGTGTGGCCACGTTAGCCTGAAGAGTCCAGAGCAGGGGGCTCAGCTTTCTCCTGGGAACAGCTGCCTAAGAAGCCGTCAGGGAAGTGGAGAAAGAGACAGGGATGGAGGGAAAGGGAGTCAGTCTAAACCTCCTGTGGTCTTCAATCCGTGGATACCATCTGCTCCCAGGTCAGCCTCGGGCCAGAGCCCCTTGGGTCCCAACTCGGCACCTGCTGTTTGCCATGAAACGGGGTCACAGGTCTCTCGCTCAGGCTGCTGTGTCGATAGTGTCCAGGTTGATGGAGTCAGAGGTCCTCAGGGGTGGGAGCTCTTCAGAATCACGGGGAGCTTGGTCAGATGCCCACCAAAGTCTGAGAAGAACAGCTGATCCTGACTGTTGGCTTCCTTTTATGGCTGAGGAAACTGAGGCTCAGGGGAGACTGGATGAAGGTCACCACTGAAGGTCATATGGGTTCAAGGGTTTCCACCTGGTACTGTTCTCCGTCAGTCCAGTACTTTGGTTCATTGGTGAGGCCACCGGCTCCTTTTCAGGGGACGGAGGGGGTTCCTGAGCAAGCTCCTTGGCATGCCTGGGAAAGTATGCAGGAAGCACCCCTACATCCTTTCTGCGTCCCGCAGCAGAGCGCCCATCAGGCTGATGACCTGCGAGGCTGGCTGGACTGTGTCATACTCTGCGAACAGGTGGCACACATTCTCCTGTGATTCCGTCTGGCTCTTGGCCACAAACCCAAAGATCCTGGTGGGAGAGAGCAGCCTGAGTGAGAGGCAGGACCCGGGGAGACACCAGGCTGAAAGGGGGGTACTCAGCCCACAGTGTTCCTCCCACCCCCTTTCCTCAGCACCTCATTATAAAGTGAGCTCTCTGAGATGGGGGTATGTGCCTCCCCTGTCAGACTGGGAGATCCTTGAGTTCTATGTTTTCCTTATTTTGAATGGGGCTCCCTGGACAGAGCGGGGAAGACAAGGATGTGTCTTGGCCATTAGACCAGGGCCTCCCTACAGGTTAAGCCCCTTTGAGCCTGTGCCTCACCCATCAGGCTGGACGCTCGCTTAGGGCCAGGGCCTGTGCTGTCCGCATCAAAACCACGGGCTCGTAGGGTCAGAACAGGGCCTCCCACCTTCCCTAACTCCTTCCCCATGTTGGGTCAGGGGCCCTGCCTCAGGGAGGCTGACTGAGTAGAGAGGAAGGCCTTACCAGGAGGGCTTGCAGTACTTTTGCCACCTGTGGGAAAGGAACATGCGCAGTAGTGAGTCCTGAGGCTTTGCTCCATTCCACCGGACTCTGGCTGAGCAGAGGCGAGAATGGCGAGCTGTGTTCCCACCCCCACCATGCCCACCCCCTCCTTTTGTTGCTCCTGGTCCTTTGAGGTTCACAGGTTCTGTCTGTGATCCAAGTTCCAGAGCCAGCAGGAAACCTCAGCGAGGGCAGCGAGGCCCTGGATGGCTTTCTTAGTTTGGCTCAGCCTTGTACTTACTTCCGTTGCTCAGGGTCCATGCCACAGAAGCGGAGGGTGGCGAGGGGGTAATGGCGCCGGAAAAACACCCTGGGAGGAGGCAGGAGAGAAGGAGAGCTGGTGAGAGCCTGTCCCAGGGTCATACCCGCCTCCATCATCTCCAGCTCCGTATCTTCCAAGATGGACCCCTTACAGCCTGCCATGACCTTTCCCACTGGTCCCCTGGGCTCTAAGTTAGCACTTCTCTCCTCTCATGGGTGCCTCTGCCATGTGTCCTACACATTGGGGTTTTCTAGCCCCTCCCCGCCCACCACGTCATGTAACTATTTGAGGATAAAAATTATGTCTTCGTCATCTGTTGTTCCCCCAGCCTAGGATCAGACTGAATCTCTGAGCCTGGGGAAAGAGTGACTTCCTTCCACTGTGTCCCAGTGGCCAGCCAGAGTCTGGCTGACAGAAGATGTTCTATCAGTGGAAGTAAACTTAATCAGTGCCCAGTGGATAGTGGCTGATTCCATCGCCATCAGTCACAGTGAAGGGGGACTTTGGCAGGAGGTCACTGGAGTGAAGCTTGAGAAGGGAGAGAACTTGCCTGAGTCACTCAGCACATTGCTGCCCCGTTTGGGTCCAGGACACTGAACTCGGCCTTCCTCACTGATCCGTAGCTGTCTTGGCCATCCCCTCCAGCTCACCCTGCCCAGCCCTGCAGCCCCAGGGCAAGGGAAGTCTCTTACTTTCTCTGAACGTCGGTCAGGGTGATGCCCTGCTCGGTGACTTTGAAGTGGACCACAGTGGGTGTGGGGAGGACGTCCCTCTCCAGCGTGGTCGAGATGGCCTTCTGCACGGCCAGGGCTCCGGTCAGGGTCTCCACGCTCACGGAGCTCAGGTACAGAGCATGGCAGCCTGTGGGATGCAGATACTGCGCTGGGGCCTTGCCAGGATTCACGGGATGGGCAGAGGTCACCCAGGCCCTGGTCCTTCCTCTGCCCAGAGCCAGGGGATGGGGCAGCCTTCCTTCTTCAGGAATCCAGTAGGGTTCCTCTCTGAGTCACCAGGCAGGCAGGCAGGCAGGCAGGGAGTGTGTGGGTGACTGCAGTTTTTAGCCAACCCCAGAGGACTTTGGAATCATCCGTTGCTCTGCATTGCCCTAGGCCCTGGCTGTCCAGGGTGGAAGGCTGTTGTGCTGAGGGGCACCGAGTAGGATCTGTCACTCAGACAAGTGCCTGGCCTCTGGGGGTGCAGAGGAGGGGCCTTTCCCCTGTAAAAATGCCTAGCACTCAGACCTGACACCCCACAGAGGATCCCAGACCACCTCCAGAGCAGGTACTTCAGATCCAGAGAGACCCCAGCACGTCCACGTGTACCCATGTGTGTGCAGGGTGGGGTGTAAGCCTCGCCAACCCCCCTCCTCTTCTCTCTGGCACGCTGCCTGCAGCCTCTCATCTCCCGGTTTACAGGGAGGGGGAGGCATGTGGCACCTTGTTAAAGATGAAGAAATAAAACTGATGGGGAACACTTGTGGGCATGCGTGTGTGTGCGCTGTGCACAGGGCTGAGAGGTGCCCTCCAGGGGGCACAGCCAAGCTTGGAGCCTCCCCCATATAACTCACCTGCAGATTTCTTCAGGCAGGAGGCCCCACCATCTGCAGAGGGGTCTGAGGTCGTCCTGTCTCCACCTCCCAATTCTGAGCCAAAGTAAAGGAACAGGCCCCCGAGGGGGCGGGGGTGGAGTGAGTGGAGCCATCTCCTAGGAACAGGCCTCATTAATGCCTTTGAACATTTCCTACCCCAGCCCACGCCTTCAGGAAGTGACTGGGCTGAGAAACCAGGTGTGATTACTGAAATCAGGCAAATGGGGCCACTTTGGGCTCCCCAATGTCCTGCTCACAAGCCTTTAGATCCTTCCTTCCCCTCCTCACTTCTCCAGCCCCTGGACTGCTGCAGTGACCTGGACCTCAGAGGCCCCTGACCACTTCTTTCAGACCCCACCTCAACCCTAGGCCTTTCTCTGCAGAAAGTAGGGAGGCTCTCGCCATCACTCCACCAGGGGCTCCCCCCAGCCCTTGCCTCCTGTCCCAGAAACCCCATTGCTGCTCCTCCTGCACACCCAGGGTGTCGCTGGGCTGTAAACTCTGGATGGGGCCTCCTGATTTGGGCTGGAGGTCTGACTCTGTATGCCTTCAGGTGAGGTACTTAACACCTCGAACCTTCCTTTTCTTATCTGTGAAATGGGTATATAACAGCAACATCTACTTCACAGGTTTGTAGTGAGGTATGAATGAATGAATGAATGAGGGCGTACCCAGTAAACGTTGGACCTGGAAGAAAAAAACCAAACCTCACCAAACTGGCTGATTTATGCTCCTTGCTTTCCCTCAAAGAAGGCTATTGTTGATCAAACACCTGCTCTGCGCCAGACGCTGTGCTAAGAGCCTTGCCTGAGTGATTCCGTTTAATCCCCACACCAGTCCTGTAAGTAGGTATGCTGATGGCTGTCCCCAGTTCAGAGATGAGAACCCGAGGCTCTAATCGGTTGGCATTCTCGAATTCTCACAGCTAGGAAGGAGGGATGTTGACAGACCCTAGAGCATGCACTTTTCACTATGACACTAAAACAATCCATAAATCAGGTGAGATGTGACCACTACGAGCCTTTCTAGTGAGAACAAACAGACCCAGTGGCCGGATGTTGCCTCCTTGTGGCCCAGACCCACCTTTCTTCGGGATGGTGAGTTTGCAGGGCAGTGCCAGCGCCATGATGGAATGCTGGCACACAAAGGCAGAGAGGCTCCCTGCAAAGAAGCAGGCAGCTGTGGTGAGAAGGCCTTCCCAGCCCACCCTCCCAGCCCGGGAGGGCCAGGCCCACCCAGGGGCCGGAGGCTGCAGGAGAGGCTTACCAAAGTAGGGCTCCTCATCTGCTCCTTTGAGATGCACCCCTTTAGCGGAAGACTCGATGAGGAAGTGGCGGATAAGGTCACTGCTGTCCTCACCTGGACAAAGGAAGGAGAAAGAGTGCATGTGGATAAGAACTCCAGAGCCCAGTGTTAGCCACACCTGACCCGTCTTCTCTCGGTCCATCCAGAGGGTGACTTGTCCATCCTCCTGCCTCTGGGGAGGACTGCAGGTAGGAATCATATCTCCAAGGCCTCCCACAAAGGAGGTGCCCACACTTTTGCTCAAAGGCTTCTGAGTCCAGTAATTCTCCCTGGAGGAAACCTTTCCCTTGGTCTTAAGAGCTCTCAGGGATAGTTCCCAATGACTGTTTATATCAAATCTGAACTCTTCGGTCTGCTTTCTCTCTCTCCCTACTCACCCCCTCCAAGGTGCTATTTTCTCCACCAGATGGTCCCTGCCAGAGCCAGGCTGGCCTGGGAGGGGGAACAATGCCCTCCGTCCCTTCATCACCAGCCCACAGCTTCCTCCTCTCTTTTGGCTCATTGGCAAGACTTGCTTGATAAGCAACACTGCCCCAGAGGTCACTTTCTTTTCTTTTCTTTTTTTTTTTTAGCTGAGCCATCCTGCTACCTGTTGGCAGCTCAGCGGCTGCTCAGCTCGGGCTGGACTCGAACCGCTGTTGCTCGGAGCTCGATCTCTTAACCAACTGAGCCACTCGGCCGGCCCTGAGGTCACTTTCTTATTTAGACCAAGAGGCATAGGGTAGAGAACTTGAGGTTGAGTTTTCACCCTCTCTCTCTCACTTGTTCTAGGGGGTCATCTGCTAACATTTGGCACCTTGGTTACCTCATCCGTTTGTTTCATGAGAGCTACCATCCTGGGGTTTAGTGGGGGGCTGTGACTCAGGTACCTCAGACTATAATGACGTGTTTTTATCTCGCTCCCTAGTGAGGTTCCCTGGATCCTTTCACAGTACCTGGGGCAGGGTGAATGCCCCATAGATGTGTGTTGTGTGTGTGAGACCACAGGAAAGCATGACGTGCTGTCACACACATGTGTGATGAGCTATCACACACGTGATAAGCTGTCACACACATGTTTTTACATTAGGTTCCCTCATAATAAGTCTGGTCTGAGAGAGGTGGGCACCCAGAAGAGAGCATCCTGGAGAGGGGCTGGGACCGTCCTCCTCTTTCCACCATGAGAGTACAGCAGGGAATTCTGGGACTTGGCAGGTGGCAGCAGCTCAGGCTTACTGTGAAAGGAGCTTTTCACAGAGCCTTGGTGCTAGAGGGCAGCTGGGAGAGCTGATATGGACCCTCCTCCCAGGAGTCATTATGGGCCTAGCCAAAGGTCACCCTGCAAGCTACTGGCAGAGTGGGGACTAGAACCCACCATACCCCATTGCCTCTGAGAGCCTTGAGTAAGGACAGAGACAAGTGCATACCTGATCGGTTCTGGGCAGGCGTGGGGACCTCCTGCACCTTCAAGGCCAGGCCAAAGGAGCCTCGGTATGAAGTACTGTCCCTCACAACGAAGGCCCCTGGCTTCTCCTTTCTCAGCAGCTGGATTGCTGGAACAATCCTTGGGTCAGAGACAGTTACCGCCCCACCTGGACACCCTCTGTCCCGCTAGCCACATATGGTCTTTATAGAGCAGATGTTACAGAATCACCTTTTGTTCCTAGGAAGTCCTTTCTATTGTCTAATCTCCACCATTCCTGCTGCAGTTCCTATTTTCTCAGGTCATGAGGTCTGCAGGACACCCCCCCTTCCCTGGACCCTCCTTTGCCATTCCCTCCTCTGCCATGACCCAGGGCCTCGACTGCAGGACCCAGACCTGACTCCTGGGTCACTTGTCCTCTGAGGCACAGTGCTTCCTTTTACCTTGCTCTCGGGTGATGCTTGGCTTAAACCAGTATTTAGAGGTATCCATCACAAACTTCATGGTGGGCTGCATGTCCCTGGGGGGACCTGGAGACAGAGAAGGAAGACCCTGTAGGCTGGACAGAGTGAAGCTGAGAGACCCTCCCCACGCCCTGCTCAGGGGTGCCATTGAAACCACCCCCTCCGACCCCAACCCCATTGTATCTAGAACTGCCTAAAGAAACAAAATGCAACAGAAGAATTCTAGGACTTGGCACATCTAGGACTTAGGAGTGATCTCCTCGTATCCTTGGTAATGAATCAGAAACAAATAGATAAAATCTCAGTTTAATGAGAAACAGTTTCTCAAATCCCCCTGGTGGAGCCTGAAATAAGGGATAAAGAAGGGATTCTGAGATGCATCATTTGTTTGATTTCACACTCTCACCCCCTTAATAATCCTATGAGTTCCTTTGGGGTATATTCAGTTTCGAAAAGAAAATGAAAGAAAAGGCCAAAGGAATGAAAACAGCAGATCTGGGGAGAAGAGTGTGTGCTTGCACGTCAGGATACAGGATTCTTGGCTCTGATTTGGGACAACTGTTTTGTTCCTGAAGCCCAGAGCGGGCTAAGTGAACTGAAAAATCCTTCGAGGGTCTGTAATGCTCCAATAACTTATGACGTTGCAATGAATTTTGTGGTGGGAATGTTATGCAGAATCAGAAAAGATCGCAGGGTATGATTAATGATACCTTCGGGCATCCCCAAACCAGGATGGGGATATCACCAGGCTAAGAAAATGTGTCCTTGGAGATGCCAAAATGCCCATTTTTCAGGACCCTAAGACAAAGAGCAGTAGTTCTTCATTTCAGCATCTTGAAAAGGTATGTTGTGTCCAGTTGAGGGTAACTCCTAAAATCTGTACTATAATCTGCAAATGGTTTGTCCTAGGAAAACAGTCAGAGAAGATTCAAAGGCATGCGTGTCATGTCATTTCTCTTGCCTTGATGTGGCTTTGTGAGTGGGAGCGAGCAGGGGGCCAGAGTCAGCATTTCATCCCCCCACCCAACCTCCCAGGAGGCACCTTGATGCCTGTGGCCAAGGAAGGGCTGAGAAGCCCTGGGAAGGAGAATGGCTGAGCAAGTAGAGAGCAGAGGCTCGGCAGGGTGCTCTGCTCACAAGAGAGGAGCACCGGGTGGGGGTGGTGGTGGTGGGAGGTGGTGGTGTTAAGGCTTAATTAGCCTCTGTGTTTACTGCTTTGGGTTCCAGTTGGTTTTGCTCTTTTGGACGCCTGCAGTCACAGACTCCAGGAAGGAGGGTGTTTGCTTTTTTGTGGTTTTTAGCTGTCTGAGTAGGAATGCATTGTCTCTGTTACCCAGTCCTCCCCCTCTGTCTGCTCATCATCCACCAACAGCAGTTATGACTGACTCTCCCGCTCCCTTTCCCTCTCAGGAGTTAGTCATTAAGCCCGCTGCTTCCATATCCCGAGGGTCTCCTGGCTCTGTCCTCTCTCCTCCACCCCGCTGCCCTGCCCTGGTTCAGGCCCCGTTTGGGCTTGTCTGAACCATTTCATGATAAAAACCCAAACAGAGCCAAATAAAAATGGTTCTCCCTGCTGGGCCAGGCCCTGCAATTCATCTGCCATGCAGAGTGCTCTATTGAGCGTGAACCTCTGACCCCATCACTCTCCTAATTGAGACACTCTGATGGTCTCCTGTTGCCTGAAGGGTAACATCTGCTCTTCAACTTGGTGTCCAAGGCCTTTCACAATCTGGTCCCAAATTACTCTCAATGACCTCACCCTACACCCAACATTCCAGTCATTTTCTGGTCATGCCATGTGCCCCACACCTTTGTGACTGTGGACTGTGTTCCCTCTGCTGGGGATGCCCTTCCTTTCCTACTCTGGGCATGGACTTTTAATCTACTTTCCAGATCTAGGGAAGATGTCACTTCCTCTGAGGAGCCTTCCTGGTTCCCCAGACTAAAAGGTTCACTCCTTCATCTGTGGCCCCAATGACTTAGGACATTTCTTTACCTCTGTGTTTATCCTACTCTATAGTGATCCTTAGTTTTGGTCTCTCTTTCTAGATGGTTTACATCTCTGTGTCCCCACTGCTTGGCACACAGTAGGTACTCAATCAATGTGTTGACTGGCTGTTGCAGAAACCCACTAGTGCTTTGTCCATTCCCCCTAGCCAAACCTTACAATGCTTGAAGCATTGGCTTACGACGTACCCTCTGGAGATGTGGTGGGAGAGGCATCTGGCAAAGTCTGGCTGTGGCTTCTGGTGGCTGTACAGGGGTTGCTGGCAGAAGCAGGCCCAGTTCGGATAAAGTCCTGTTGTCCTGGGGTCTGCTGAGATGGGGGAGACCCTGGTTCTGGGCAGCCGTTGATCAGCACGATGGGTATGTCGACCATGGAGTTGGCGATGGATGGGGGGCAGCTGCTGGCATGCTCCTTGGCCAGTGGTGGGGAGTAGGTTGCTCTGGGCTGGCCCATGCTTGGGGTTGGGTTGCTGGGGACCTGGATGTCACTGGCTCTTGTACACAGGGACATTGGGCCAAGGCTCTGGAGGCTGGAGGAAGAGCTGGCTGGGCTTTCCAAGGACCTAGAAGATGACTGTTGCCTGCAGATGCTGGATTGGAGCGGGGACTGGTTGCTGCAGGGGGAGAGAGCACCAGATAGGCAGGGTGTTAAAGTGTTGGGGGGGGGGACACTCAGGGGCCAGAGCCAGGCTCTGTCATTTAGTGATCTAGGTGTCCATGGCTTTGGTCAAATAAGATATTGCATACTCCACTTCCTATAACCCAGAGCAAAGGGCATGCCCACTTAATCCCCAAGGGGTGCTGAAGGATGCAGAAACGTCCCTGCCCTATAGAGTCTTTGGTCAATTAAAGTAGCCAACAGGCTGAGCCCCTGCAAGTCGTGTGGGCTTAGGCTGGACCGATTCTCTGCTTTCCCAGCAAGGCAGATCTGACTGAGTTGTCACACCAGCCTCCCCATCACTCCCAAGAGCCCTGCACACAGGCTGGACCTGAGCTGGGCTGCATCCACTCTGCTGCAGAGGGAATTCCCCAGCTGGAGGAGGAGGAGGAGGAGAAGGAGGGAGGCCAGCTCTGCATCCAGCCAGACTTCTCCCTGAGCTCAGAGGCCCATGCCAATGGGCATGGCCGTGGGATTCCAGTTTCCTTGCCAGTTTCCTGGCTTTGGGGTTGGTGTGGGGGGCAGAGGTCCTGTGGTTTGATCTTCCTGGGCAGAATGGGTATGTGTGCTCCTCTATTCTGAGGCCTGCAGAGAACTGGGCTGGGCAATTGGAAATAATACCGGGCAGGTTTGCCTCCCTCCTGCTGGGTTTTGCCAGCAACAAAAAGGAAGGAGGATTTTCTTTCTTAAATGGTTCATCCCAGGCTCCCCACCCCCACCCCAATTCCATTTGCAGCCTTGTTTTTTGAGTTTTTAAAAAAAACTCCTTCCTTGAGATGGGTTGTATGAGGGCTGGAAAGGGTACAGGTGGGCCTCATTAATATAATAGTTCTTTTCCCAAGAGGAAGGGAAAAGTCAAGATTTTTTTATATTGGATCATATTCTAAACTTTTGTGGAAAGCATGAGATCCAAATGGCATAAATGAGAACATCCACTCTTATTTTTGGTGCATGTTCGGATTTTGCTCAGACACAGCAGGGTGCCCCTTAAGATTTTTGTGTGTGTGTGTGTGTGTGTGTGTGTGTGTGTGTGTGTGTGTGTTGTGGAGGCAACATCAGAAGCTATAGTGGGAGTGACATACCTTCCAAACACGTAGCTGATATCAGACGCTGGGCTGGCCGACAGCACCGAGACCCTGCTGCCTCGTTGTGGGGCCAGGCCCCCCATCCCCTTCTCCAAGCCTGGAGAAGCCACTAGTGGGGAACCCAAGCCATGGGGACCTGAGGCCTTGCTCCCCATGCAAGGGATGGAGATGCTAGGAGACGGTGGGGGGCGAGAGGAAGGAGCCCCAGATGTGAGATGGGGACGCTGGTGCCCTCTGCCCTGGTTCCCGGAGAAGATGAGACTCTCACTGCTGCTTCTCGTCTCTCGGGGGACATCTCTGGAAAGGAGGAGGCCACCACTGCGCGGGGAGCCGAAGGGTGGGGTGACAGACGGGCTGGAGCAGCACTGGGGACCATCGTGACACCTTGATCTGGTGGAGGTCACCTCGATGTACTTTATATCTTTGAGGAGAAAAGCAGATCATTGGTGAAACCCGGGAGCCTGGACTCACAGGACAGGAATGCTGGAAGGGTCCTCAAGACCATCTGGTCCCCCCTGTTTTATATAGACCAGGAAACTGAGGTCCAGAGAGGAGAAGCTTGTTGGAATCAGGATTAACATCTATCTCCACCTTCAGGGCCCAGTTCCAAAGTCCCCCTCTTTGGGCTAGCTTCCCTTGGTTGGGGAGATGCAGTGGGATGAATATAGGCCTTGGGGTCAGACAAACATAGGTTTCAGGTCTGGCTCTGTCACTCTCTGAGAGAGTCTGGCCAAATAACGTCATCACCTAGAGCCTCAGCTTCCACACCTGTAAAATGGAGTGACTATACCCAGCCTCTTGGTGGTACAGTAAGGATGAAATGAGGTGAATGTAGGGGGCCCAGCACCACACCTGACACAAAGTAAGCCCTTTAAAACTGGGAGAGCCTCTCCTCTGTGTATGTATGCCCTCACTCCCCCAGGTTGAAATCACTGCTTCACAGAGTGTGCCAGTCACATCTTCGAATGCCTCTATTACTCAGTTGGGTAAAAGCTTTTCTACGTATGTGCCTACAATGAAGGCAGGGGTTCTCAAGCTGCACAGTAGAATCACCCAATGAGCGTTTAAAAGTCCTAATGCCCAGGTTTCGCCCCGTGTCAGCTAGATCAGAATCTCTGGGGTGGGCCCAGGCCTCAGGTTGTTTGTTTTGTTCTCCAGGTGATCTGGGTCCACTTTAGAGTCTGAGAACTCTGCGTTCGAGTGGGAGCTCCCTGACTCAGGGCTTGCTTAATCATTGAGCTGTGGGCCTCGCCTGGCCATGATGGTAGCTGGTGCACAGTGATACGTTATCAGATACGACCCTAGGCTGCTGACTCACCTCAATCCTTGGTCCATTCCCCAGTGGGGGCAACCAGGACGCTTGTCCCCAGACCTTGTTCCCCTTTGGTCTGGGGCACCCTGGGGTTCTTTCCATTGTGAGGGTGGATGCTCCTCCCTGGCCTGGGGGTGGGGTTGGGGGTGGGGAGCTGTCCTTGGTGCTGTTCCAGCAAAGGTGGTGGGAGGTCGGGGTTACCCAGCTGCTCGCTTCTGGAGGGCTGAGTCCTGCCTTTGGCTTCCCAGGATGGGAAGTGGGGCAGTGTCAGTGGGGAAACTGCGCCCTCAGCTCCTGTCTGCTGGCTCCCCAACCCCTTGGGCTCTGGCACATATGCCATCACCCTGCCTGCTGTGATGGTAGAGTCCTTGCCTGCCCCAGCCCGCTGCTGGGTAGGGCCTTCTGGCTCTGCTCAAGGTGACTGCCTCTGTCTGAGCCTGCTTGGGCCGGGGTGGGGGTGGAGGATTGCATCAGATTGTGGGGGGAGGCTGGCAGGCTGACCTGGGCTTGCTGCTCCAGCAAGGAACAAGCCTGGCTTTGTCGTCAGACAAACCTGGGTGTGAATCCTGGCTTTGCCACTTTCCCGCCAAGAGGCATCGGGTAATTTTCCTAACTACTCTGGAGCTCAGTTTCCTCATCTGCAAAGTGGGGATCTAAAACCAACCTCCCACGGTTGAAGTGAGGGTGAAATACATGGATAAATGGAGCCTGGAGTCTGGCCCATGGTGGGCTCCTAGGAGCACCTCTTCCCTGCCTGCTTTGGGGAGCAGTATTGGCCAGATGGCTAATATTCTCTGGCTAAGGTGTGGGTCCCACTGCTGAGGGCAAGAGGAGACTATTTGGCATAATGGACTGTGGGTTCTGAAAGAAAAGAGGTTTTGGAATGGGGTGGATTCTTCTGGAAGCTTGGCAGGCACAACTTCTATTTTTATAGGACTTTATAGCGTTTACAACCATAAACCCTTTCAAGCTTTACAACAGCCCTTATGCCCCATGCCAAATAGGCATTGCTTTTATAGAGGAGGAAACCGAGGCTCAGAGAAATGTGGGAGGGGAGCTAACATTTATTGCACAACGTTTAATAAAGGCTGGAATGTATTGAGTGCTGTGTGCCAGCACTGTTACAAACATGTTACCTGTATTAGCTTATTCAGCCTTCACGATAGCTCTGTTGAAGTAGGAAATATCATTAATTCCACAGCACAGATGAGAAAAAAGGCTCAGAAAGGCTAAGTGAGTTACCCAATGCCACACAGCCAGGGAGTAGAGGGTCCTGACTCCTGTTCCTGTGATCTGGTTGGGGGTCTTTTCCAGGAGGAGGGGCTCCTTGGGACACGTTCCCAAGGCCTTGCCCTGTGAGAAGGTGCTTGGCTGTTTTGGGGAGGGTCTCTTGGCCTGGTGAAGCTCTGGGTCCCCTTCTCAGTGGGTCACCCAAGCATCCATCCAAGGCATTGCTTGGTAAGCAGGGGTGCGGTAGGGAGGTGCAGGAGGTCAGTGAGTCACTTCCCACTGGTGCTCTGAGGTGGATGTGGCTGGGGGAGGTGGAGCCCCTACCCCATCACCTGGTGCAGTCAGTCACTGTTTACAGGCCCACGGGGCAAGTCTGAGCAGTGCTCGGTGGATGCAGGCACCAGCACCAGGCTGGGCGGGCGGGGGTCACGTGGGTGGGGGCGGAGAGAGAGTTATTAGACACTCTTCTCTTGGGATTGGCAAACAGCCTTGCCTGGCAGAAATTTCTGGAAAATGAAATGTGGGGGCCTGTTCCGAAGATGGGGAGGAGCGGCAGAGAGGATAAAGAAAGGGATATGGTGTGTGCTTCTAGGAGCGACATATGCCCTGTGGGATGGGGACACCGCCCCCCCCCCAACTTCCCCATAAATCTGAAGGAAGGTAAGCAAGAGGCAGAGGCAAGGACGCTGGGGAGAAGTTTTCGAGCGCTGGGGAGGCGGGGCCTCAGAAAAGGGTCCCCAGCTGCCTCCCAACAGATTTATTCTGTGAAGCCCTGGAGGGTGGGAAACTAGTCTGAGGAAGTGAGAAAAGCAAGGACGTGGATGTTGAAGCCAGAAGCTCGGGCTCTGAGGTCTGACCCACCACACATTAGGTGTGTGACGGTGGGCCATCGCTTCCCCTCCCCGAGCTTCCGTTTTCTCATCTGTAGAAGGAGGTTACTACTATTTCCTTCACAGGGTAGATGCTGGGATCATGCGTCACAAAAAGCTATCTGTATATACTTAGCGGGGGAACCAACAATAGGGTCGCCAATGCTTAATTTTTAATTGTGCCAAGTTAGGAAAGAGAAACAGGGAACATCTGCTAATGCTACAATTATAGCATACCTTTCCTTCCACACCCCATAAGTTGGAAGGATGAGAGTGCAAAGGGAGTGGGGGGAGGGGGGTATCCTGTGCATGGCATACATGTGGCCAGATGAAAACTCACCACCATGCCCAGAACTAGTTCCACTGCCGTGGGCCGGGGAGGGCTTGCTTTCTCACCAGTAGCCATGGTCTGAGGGGAGGGTTCTGAGAGGCTGAGATGTACGAGAAATGTCATGTAGGCACTCACTCGTCTTAGTTATCGAGGAACTTTCTAACAGGGAACAGACCTGGCTGGGCTGAATCGGGAGGTAGTGAGCTCCCAGGCACTGCAAGTATCCAAGTGAAGGTTAGAGGAGAGGATTTAAAAAAAAAAAGGCTAGGGCAGAGCAAGGCAGCTTCTTTAGGACCCTCTGACTCCCCACCATCCCGCCAGTGTCAGGTGGACACATCCTCATGATGGCAGCTTGTGCCCAGGGCATCTGAGAACAGACTACTGCCCGTCTGTCCCTTGGAGGAAGGGCCTGCTTGTCCACATCCCCACCCCATACATGGGGACGCTCCCCAGAGACTGGTCTTGCCCCCGCTGGCCTTGGGTGTGTGGAACTCCTGCCTCGGGGCATGGGTTGAAGCCCTGGCTTGCTCCTGCCAATGGTAATTAGGCCCCGGCCACCTTCCCTGCAGAGGCATGCCCGGGATTGGCCCAAAGAGGCAGGAAGGCTCTGGAGGGCTGGAGGCTTTTCTTTTAACAGGCCTGGCAGGCAGTGCTCAGTGAAAGGAGCAGAAGGCAGGCCAGGAGCCCAGGCGCCAGAGGACCTGCGTGCTGGGCTCGCTTTTACTCCAGAGCCCGAATCTGCCCTAGGGCTGGTTCTAAATGCAACCCCCATGTTCAATAAAACAGCCACCACTTGTAATGACTCATATGCTGCCAGGATTTGTGATAAACACCCGACAAGTGTTATTTCTTTTCATCCCTACAATACCCTTTGAGGTAAGAACTCATTTATATTTTACAGATGAGGAATCAGACACAGAGAAGGGACGTAAACAGCTTGCGTAAGGTTTGCCCAACTCCAGTCAGCGATTAGGCTAGCCGGGCTCCTTACTCAAGTCCATTAACCTTAGTTTTTTCATCTATAAAACAGGGATAAAATAGTCATTTCATGGGGGATTGGGAAGATGAAAGCTCTACTATAAAGTGCTCAGCACAGTGTCGGCGTACAATAAGTACTCAACACGTAGAAATTCTCATGGATCCTGTCTCTAGTCCTAACCACGCCCCCTGGCCCATGCCGATTGTTTAAACCTCGGGAAGCCTCAGTCTTCCAGCCTGTCTAATGGGCCGCTGCTCCTTGACCATCCACCTCAGAGCATACTTAAAACTCTTTGCTTTGGAAACTGAAGCCAGATGTAGGAATTTCTAGATCCCTTAGGGTTCAGTGGTATACTGGACTTGGCTTGTACTAGGCTCTTGAGAGTTGCTTGTTAAACTTTCAGGATTTTGTCCAGGTTGGAGCTAAACTCAGCCATTATGAGAAGTTAAATTATATAAACTTACAACGAAATAACTTATATTAAATACAAAGCAAATACTCAACATTCATCCCATCCCAATGATTTTACTACATTTTACTATTATCTGTACTCTTGAGGTTATTTATAGCTGTTGCATGGACCCAGTGTAAATACTGTATAATGGCCTGCTATCAGGTATCTCTTTCCAGCGCCACATTCAGTGACATCATGTTGGTGCTTGAAATGGGCGATGGTGGGAGAATGTACGCTGTGGACCCTGGCAGATGCTTCAGATCGGGGCTGCCCCCCGCCCCACCAGGGAGCCAGATGTTGACATATTAGCACACGCAACAGGGTTACCACCCTAAACAGACTGAATTCTTCGTCCCTCCAACCCCATTACGTCCAGCTTGGGCCTCCCCTGAGAGATACTCCCCTAAACAGGGACAGGGGTCCAGATAGAAATCCTATAAAAATCTCCAGGGGCCCAGGTTAGGACCTAAAGAGAGACATCATAGAACAGCAAGGTTCAGGGACCTCATATTTACTGAGCTCTTATTTATATGCATGGCATTGTATAAAATTTATATTATACATACTAACTTACTTAAATTCTCTGGAAAATCACATAAAATAAGTACCCGTCACTTTCCAAACTTAGGAACCAAACAGAAGTGGACAGTGAGGGAAATTTGTATTTATCGCTTTTATATAGCAGAGAAAAGAGACATTAAGTAAGTTGTGTAAGGCTGCACAGCACCTGCCAGCAGGACATTGTCCCCTGCCCCTCTGATGTGATAGAAAAATCCTGTTTCCCCAAGCCCCACTCCTGGCGCTGTGCCCCAGGTCCTTACCCAAGGCTTCAGGTTCCTCTTTCTTCCTCCTCAAGGTAGTGCTCTGGGCAGGCTCAGCCCAGGGGCCACCAGGCCCTGGGGGGAGCAGCTGGAAGGTGGGGTCCAGTTCCAGGATCATCTGGTTGAGGCTCTCCAGTGAGAAGTCAATGTAGGAGTCAGGGTCCTGCAGGGCCCCTGAGACTTGCTCACCAGGAGACCGCAGGAGGCAGCTGGCTTTGGCTCCAGCCTGTGAGGCCTGCTGGAGCCTGTTGGGGGATGTGGGGGCCATCAGGGCCTGGGCTCCCCAGCCTTCTGTGGTGTAGTAAGGACACTGGGGTGGCAGGCTGGGGCTGGGTGCTGGGTGCAGGGCCCTCCTGGGTTCTTCACAGGAAGTCAAACCGACTGTATGACCTCCTGCCAATAAAGGGCTGGACATCACCTGCGACATGGTGGGGGCAGTGACCCTCTGGCTTCCAAACAGCCTCCTCACTTATATCCCAGAGATGTCACTTGCCAACCAGTAGCTCTCAGAACCTGAAAGAGGCCAGCGATGGGAACTGAGTAACTTTTGTAGATGAAGCCCCTGCCTCCCCTCCCCCAAAACAAAAGCATATTTATTCATGCATTGAAAAGCATGGATGCTGGAGCCAGCCTGCCTGGGTTTGCATCCTGGCTCCACCACTTACTAGCTGTATAACGTTGGGCAAATTAATTAACTTCTCTGTCCTTCAGCTTCCTTATCTATAAAATGAGTTAATATTTGTAACATGCTTAGAACAGCGCCTGGCTGTTCTAATGCTTGCATGCTAAGCATTAGGCAAGCGATTGTTAAATAAAATAACTTCCATAGACGTTTATTGAATGTTTACTATGTCCCAGCCTTATTTATTAAATAAATAACAGCTAATGTTTATTGAGTAATTACTGTGCACATAAGCACTGATATTTACACATAAAGTCTTTTAAAATCCTCATAACAACATTATGAGGTAGATACTATTATTATTCCTTTTTACAATGTGAGAATGGAGACAGAGAGGTAAGTAACTTGCCCAAGGGCGAGTGGCCAAGTGTCAGAGCTGCCTGATGTCGGGGCCCTTGCACTTAGCTGCTACTCCATGTGGGCCAGTTGGTGAAACAGACAAGGAAACAGGTGAACCATCATAGACAGTGTCACCAGGGAAGAGGGGAAGCAGAGGGGACTCTGTAGGCCCTGGCGGGGAGATCAGAGAGAACTTCCTGGAAGAAGGGACGTGTAAAGGGAGATAAGAAGGAAAAACAGGAGATAGCTGGGCAAGGCAGGTAAGGGTGAGGAGGCAGGTGCCTTTGGAGGCCTGAGGACAGGTGAGACCAGGAGGCATTATTGAGCATCTGGGAAACAGAGAACACGTGGGGTGGATGGGGGGAAAGATGGGGTGGGGGCGGCAGATGGGCCAGACCCTGCAGAGCTTTGTAGGCTGGGCTCAGTGGTGCTGTCTCAACCCTGAGGGCGAGGGAGCCACAGAGCAATTTTGAGCTGGGGAGTGACATCATCATGATATTCACTCCCTGGGGCTCATCTGGGAAGGAGATGTCTCATCTTCCTCATGTCCCTTTCTATGGGAAGTTCTTCCTGTTGTCTCATCTTAATGCCACGTATTAGTAGTTTCTTACAGGTGGGGCTGGGTAGGAGGTAGGAGGAGGGGCTGGGACTGAGGCTACCAAGAAAACCGTAAGGAGCTGGGACCTGCTGGTCGCACTATCACTGCCTGTCCTGAGCCTCACCACTTGACCCCCCCAACACTCCCCAACTCTGCTTCTCCCTTTTTCCAAGATGCCTCCATCACATCCCGCTTTAGAGTCAGACCCCCCCCGCCACACACACACACACACACACACACACACACACTCTCTCTCTCTCTCTCTCTCTCTCTCTCTCTCTCTCTCTCTCTCTCTCTCTCTCTCTGCCTTAGTTCCCTCATCTGTGAGATGGGAATAAGAATTCCTGCCCTGTACTCTCCCAGAGGAGGACGGGGAACCAATGAGGTGCTGCTTGTGAAAACAGGTGAACAATTCTAAATACTACTTAGAAGTAAGGGCTTACACAGAGGATAACACCGTCATAAGAATAGCTCCCATTGGTGGAGCATTCGCCATGTGCCAGGTGCTGATCTGTGTACGTTACCTACGGTAACTCTCCTCTCACGGCCCTAGGAAGTACGGCACACCTAGCACCAGCCCATTTTACAGATGAAGATCCTGAGACTTAGGTCAAGAAACCTGCACAGGCTGCACACCCAGCAAAGTGGTATAGCTGGGATTCGAACCCAGGCTGTGGGGCTTTGGGCTCTGACCTCCTGATACCACCTGGTGTTCAAATGCAGAGGGATACCTGGGGTCCAGAGAGGGGATGTGATTGGCCCAAGGTCGCACAGTAAGCTAATGAGAAAAGCCAGGCCCCTGTTCTACCCCTCAGCTCCTGGAGGCCCCTGCCAGACTTCTTGGCCAGGTCCTAGAGGGGGGCGGCGCGTCCTAGCCTCTTGAAGCGTGTCTATAAATGGCAGTGGAAGGGAACAGGCCTCCGAGCTCCTTCCTGGGGGCAGCTGAGGACACAGAGCTGTGGCTTTCCCCTCACATGCTCCAAGAGGCCTGGGCTCTCTGGGGCAGAATCTCAGTGCACCCTGCAAGCTGGGCCCTGCAGAGAAGGCCGGGCTTGCTGACTTTAAGAAGCATGCTGGGGGCCTGGGTCTCCCCCCAGGACCAGAACCCAGGATCCCTCGGACTGATTTGGGAACTGCCTTTGTGCTACCCTGGGCGAGTGTCCTTTCCTCTCTGGGCCTCAGGTGTCCCATCTGTATGATGGGGATATGATAATAACAGATACTTCAAACTTACTCATTTCATTTTCTCCATGGTTCTGTGAGGAGGGTATTCTTACTGTGGGACTAGAGAGGTGAAGGGATCTGCCCAAGGCCATACAACCCATGAAGCCAGCAGTGGGACCGGGACTTGAACCCGGTCGTGGCTCCACAGTCCCACCTTCTATGCCTCTGCTTCATAGCTTTAGGACCCCTTTCACCTCCTCGCCTCCTGGGGTTCTAGAACCTGGTGGGACAGGCCTGGGAGAGCTCTTCAAACCTTTCTCACTTTTAACCCTCCCTAAATCACCCTGGACTCCAAAGGCAGGGCCTGGGCTCACTCCTTTATGCCTGGACACCCTGCCCCAACCAGTGCACTTGCGAGCTCTTTTCTTCCTGCTATAAGGAAGAGGGGAGGGCCCCTGGGGCTCAGGACTCTGTGTGTGTGTGTGTGTGTGTGTGTGTGTTGGGGTTGTATAATGGGCAGAAGGATTCCAGGCAGCTCTGCCCTATTTATTTATTGATCCCTCCCACCCACTCTCCCTTCAGATTTGGACTCAAATCATTTTCTTTGTTCCCAAGGGCTCTGAAGGCAGGAGGATCCTGCTACCTGGGCAAATTCCCTTTTCTCTTCATTGCAGACCTCTTCTCCCTCCTGCAAGCCCAGGTCAGCAGAGGAAGTGGGTGGGAGAGTGCGAGGCCTGAGTTTTCCCCAAGAGCCCCTTGCCTCAATAGCCCAACTCAATAGCTCACCCCCATCCTCAAAGAGTGGTTTCTGATTGTCCCATACCCTCCACCTAGACCCAGGGACAGCAGGGACCTACAGGACCAGTGAAGGCCATGGCCCCCACCTCTGGATTCCCCCCAGCCTCTGAGGGGCCCAGCACAGGGGCTCAGGGGCTGGGAGGCAGGAAGCCTGGGCTCTGTGCCCATTCCCTCCCCAAGTCTCTGTGATCTCAGGCAAGCCTCTTCCCCTCCCTGGACCTTGGTTCTCTCATCTGTACATCAAGGGGTGCAGATTGACTCTTTCAAAGTGCTCAACTCCGGGAGCTGGGGCCCTGAGACCATCTCTCATGCACAGCCTCTTCCATATGTCTCTCCACCCTCACTCTGAGCCCAGCCCCAGGAGAGGTGGAGAAGCCAAGGACAAAAGGTTAAATGAGTCGGGGCAGAGTAGGTGCTGAGCCTCCCTCTCTCCTCCTTCAAGAATTCAGGCACCTACCTGGCATCCAGGGCAGGCAGGCTGCTGCGTTCACTCCTGGTTGCCGGGATCAAGGCAGCTCAGAGACCAGGTGAGGAGTAAGGAGAGGTGCGCAGCTCACCTCCAGACCTGCCTTAAGAACTCCCGCCCTCTTGCCTTTCCTCCTCCCCTGAGGGCCCTACCAGCGTGCAGGCCCCACCCCTCCTGTGTCTGGACAACTCAGCTGAGGCTGAAGCAGGCAAAGCAGAGGGCAGCATTGGGTGCTGGCTGGGGCCGGTGTGTGTATGCGAGGGGCTCCCAAACTCTCTGCTTGCCTGCACCTCAACCCCTCGTGTATCCCCTGCTCAGGGGAACCCTGCATGGCCAGGGGCTTGTTAGGACCAAGGTGTGCTGGTGGTGTCATTCCTCTTACCATGCGCCAGCCAGCCACATGCCAGTGGGTTTGCAGAACTGGAAGAGTGATGGCCTTGGCCTTGGAAAAGCAGGATGCCAGTGGGCGGGAGACCCTTCCCACAGCCCCCTCCTGTGTGGCCTGGGCCGGGTCAGCTGTGGCAGCGCAGGGTAGGGGCCCGTTGGAATTGAGGCTGGACACAGATCTTGTCTATTCTTCTTAGTCTGGGCATGGGGCTTCTAACTCAAGGAGGGGAAACTCTGAATGTCCAAGGGGGCTTTGAGAAGGGGCTTGTATCCTTGCTTCACTTCATTGATTTACTCCCTGGGCTACCCCTCTGCGCGTGGTCTGGGCTGTGTCTCAAAGTGGAAGTTCATATGAGAGTGAGAGCAGGAAGTCCAGAAGTCCAGGCATTCCTTCTCCCTCCCTGTTCTGTGCCGGGGGTCCCAGAGTGTTGTGAGGTGACCTCCAGCCACGGTGCGGGGAGGGACATTAGTGGCAGAGCCGCCGAGCCCCATCCAGGCAGGCTGGTCTGAAGTGAGCGAGCCGGTAGCCTCCAGCCCAGGACTCATGGTGATTCCAGCAGTGGCTAATCTTGGGTGTGTGGGCTGCTCAGTACCCTCATGATGCTCAGTGGAAGGGCTTCTGGCCTGAAAGGTTTTGATGCCCTGTGGCTTCTCAGAGGCGTGATGAAGCAGTGTCATGGGAGGCCAGCAAACAAAGCTGTGCAAAGTTGTAAAAAGGTGCTCCTTCCTGATGGTGACGTTAAAAGGCTGCGCCGGGTGCCCACGCAGCCCAGTTGGCACATGGCTTGGTGAGCAATTGTGTCTTTGAATGAAGAAAAGGGCGCTTCTCCCTTGGGGTGGGTGCAGTCACCTGCTGGGGCGCATTGCACATAGCAGGGGTCGGGGCAGCTGCTGAGTTTCTCAGGTGGAAGGGGCAGGTTCCAGGAAGTGTTGGACCAGGGCTGTGGTGGTTCTGGTGTTAGCCCTGGCTGCGTCCTTGGCAGGTGGCACCGAGGACAGCCTTTGGAGCAGTTCTTCAGGGCTAGGGGTGGTCCCCGGCCTTACGATCCCGTGCCTGAGGGTTTCAGCATTGCTTGGCAGGTTTGGCTTTTTTTGATTCACATTTGGCTACTTCCTTCGCCTTAAGCCGGTCTCAGGAACACTGGTTCCAGCCTCAGCTGCCTCACAGACCCTGCCTGCCTACCCCCTCCCTCTACGTTCTATGCCTTCCCTCCCCCTTCGCCCTGATATGATCAGTCTCCCCAAGGGTAGGGCAGCATTTCTTTCTGCATCTATGGATATGATCACGTGATTTTTCTCCTTGAGCCTGTTGATGTGATGGAGTATATTAGTTGATTTTGAATGTTGGACCAGCCTTGTATACCTAGGATAAATCCCGCTTGGTCACGGTGTATCATTTTTATACATTGTTGGACTCAATTTGCTAATATTTTGTGAGGATTTTTGCATCTATGCTTATGGGGCATATTGGTGTGTAGTTTTCTTGTAATGTCTTTGGTTTTGGTCATTTGGGTAATGCTGGCCTCCTAAAATGAGTTAGGGAGTATCCCCTCTGCCTCTAGCTTCTGAAGGAGATTATAGAGAGTGGGTATGATTTCACCCTTAAATGCTTGTTAGAATTCACCAGTGAATCCATCTGGGCCTGGTGCTTTCTGCTTTGGAAGGTTATTAATTATTGATTCAATTTCTTTACTACAATAGATATAGGCCTATTGACAACATTTCTTTCCAACCTCGAAATACACCGTTTCCCTGGCCCTTCATCTACCTTCCCCTCCCAGGAGAAAGGATTCCAAGAGGACTTTATTTATTTATTTATTTTTTGGCCCCAGCCTAAATTTTGATGTATCCTGCACTTCTCATTCTAAAGAGGTAAAATCAATCGATCAAACAAACAACCGATGTCGTTTCTAACAGGGCCTTCTCCTTGTGGACAACCCCATTACTCATTTATTCAAAATACATTGCCTGAGCATCCCTATGTTCAGGTACTGGGACACAGAGATGAATGGGACAAGGTCCCTGCCCCTAAAGACTGTCTGTGGGGGAGGATGACTCAGGCAAACAAAGCCAGGAGGCCTACAGGGTGCTAGAGCTGTGCCATCCCAGCAGGCCAGCCATTAGTCACAGGTGGCTAGTCCGAATGGAGACATGCTACAGGTGTAAAATGCAACTCAGATTTCAAAAACTTCATATGAAAGGAGAATGTAAACTATCTCATTCATAATTTTTATATTATACGTTGAAATCATGTTTCGTTAGATATTGGGTTAAATAAAATATAGATTCTCACAATTGATTTCACCTGCTTGTTTTCACTTTTTTGGAATGTGTTTTATTAGGTTCCTCAGGCTGCTGTAACAAATCGTCACAAACCTGGTGGCTTTGAACAACAAATTTATTTTCTCCTGGTCTGGAGGCCAGAAGCCTGAAACGGGGTTGTAGGGGAAAGTCTGTTCCTTGCCTCTCCACCTTCTGGTGGCTGCCCTGGAATTCCCGGGCCGGTGGCCGCATTGCTCTGCTCTCTGTCTCCTGTTGGCTTTGCCTTCTCCTCTGTGTTATCTCCCTTCGCCTCTTTCTTATAAGGACACTCATAATGGCATTTAGGGCTCACCTGGGTAATGCAGGGTAGTCTCATCTTACAATCCTTAACTTAATTACATCTGCAAAGATCCTTTTTCCAAATCAGGTGAAGTTTTAAAAGTGACAGGGGCTAGGATTTGATATTTTGGGGTGGCAATTATTCACCCTACTTCATGGGGTTACCAGAACATTTAGAATCACATATGGGGCTTGCATTGTATTGCTATTGGACAGTGTTGGGCTATTGTAACCCCTGCCTGAGGGAGCCAGAGACGGCATCTCAGGTTCCTGAAGGACGGTCAAAGTGGAGGTGTGGAGATCCACATGGGGAAGGTCGGAGAGGTGAGAAAGAGCCTGGGGTGTTCCCAGGACCCTCGGAGTGGTGTCTGTGGCTGGAACTCAGGGTAAGCGTGGGAGGAGGAGTGCCGGGAGAAGAATTCGGAGAGACAGTGTGTGTTTAGCTTTAGCTTTGCCTCCACCCTGTCTTCTTCTAGTGAGCCTTCCTGAGCTGGAAACTCTGGACGCTGAACACTGCACTTCTCACACTCCCTTTGCCGCAACAGTTCTGGTTAGGCAACAGGTTCTGTCAACCGAATGGACTTAGGGACGTGGCTTGTTGCTGCTGGTCTGCGTGGCTGTGGAGACACCATGTTTTTTGGGCAGCTGCCTTCTAGCAACCAGTGTCCAGCGTGGTGGGTGTGAAGCTGTTGCTTAAATGGCTTCTTGATCCCTGTATCAGTTAGGTGATGGCTCTTGATGTCAGCAGACCCTGGGGGGCTCTTGGTTCTTATCTTCCTGCCGGTGCCGGAGGGGGCAGTTCCAAGGTGGGTCCTCTGTTCTCCTGGGAGCCATTCCTGCAGGTGTAGCCTACTCTCCTTCCAATGATTTTGTAAGTACGGAATTACCTGCATGAAATTCCTTTCTGCTTAAATTAGCTAGTGTGGTTTCTGTTTCCTGCCGGTGACTGATGCAGGTGGGCTGGGCCGGGGGGTGGGGTGGGGTGGGGTGGCAGGAAAGAACGTGTGGGTTGGCCTAAGCAGCCTGGCTTTTCTGTTGTGGTCACTGGAGAGACAGAAGCTATCAAGCAGAACAGAGGAGGGAGGGAACAACACGAACATATTTGTGCCACAGGAAGGTCATTTTGCTTCAGGCAGGCGAAGAGCCCCCTAAGAGGATAGCAGAGGGGCAGGCCTTACTTTTTTCTGGGACTCTCTCTTCTTTGGGGTTAAAACAGATGCAAAAGATTGGGGTGGGATGTTTTTTGCTACAATGGGGCAGAGCACTGACCTGGGTGGTTAGCTTCCTGAACATTCTAGGCTTTATTTGCAGCAGACAAGACTGCACGTAATAGCAGGCAGGGCTTCCTAACAGAGACGATAGTGAGAATTTTGGTAACTAAAAACCAGGTTCTGCATCATGGTGCAGAGAGCAGAGCAGGTAAAAGGCCAGACCTGCAGTCTGGATGCCTGCATTTATACTCAGTCTCCATTGCCAGCTGTGATGCTTTAGGAAAGACCCTCTGAGGGCCTGTGGATTCCCTCGGAGCAGGAGGCAAGTCTTGTTTTCCTTCTTCTGTTGCAGTGGGAGGGGTAAGGAGGAGAGGTAAGTGGTCCTTCTCATCCCAGGGGAGGGGATTCTGGTCTGTGTGATGGGGCTGCCCTGTGGATGTGGAGCACGTCTCGGGCTTACTCCTCTGCCCCTCTGACGCCTTTGCTATAAAATGTGCATGCCTGAAATTCCACCTGCATATCAGGTGAGGCCCAATCTAGGAACATCTTTATTATGAATGCCCTTGTCCAGGACAGGGTGGGCCCACTTCAGCCTCTAATGCCAGAGCTGGAGGGGCCTTTAGGTGTTCAGTCATCCTCGAACTCAAACTTTATTATCAGTAAGAAATATTGAGCAGGTACTCCCGCTATCTACAGAGGGTGCCAAAAAAAAATGCATACACATTTTAAGAAAAAAGAAAACTATTAAAATTGTAATGCTCAATATATACCAACAACAAAAGATGAACACAAGTCACGTTTGACTTCTGCAATGACAAGAGGTGCTCAAAATGGTTACCATCAGCGTCCAGATACTTCTGATTAGGGT